TGGAGATAGGTTTAGATGGAATTAACTCGCTGGTTTTGTTGAAAATGTGGAGTATCGTTTATTCTGAATTTGGACTTTCACCCGGTTAACGTGGAGTGGTGTTATAGGACGTATATGTTTGCGCGAGCGATAATACAATTGTTCTCCGCGAAGTGAAATATGAAATATGTTTTTCATATCACTAGGGTGAAACTCCATTTTAGTACTGTTTCATGGAAAAAATCTTCACAGTGCGTTGATGGGAAGATTCGTTTTTTTTCAGTTGCATGATGCGATTAGTGGTGGATACGAATTAGAGTTTGGCAATTCGACTGGCGGGCCGCTGACGGTAGCTGAGACCGTTTTAGGTGGGGTAAAAACGTTTGGTTGTGTTTAAAACGTTGGGTATTTTAGGTGATGAATCGAAATCGATTATCACGTCGCATTTGCTGAAGTTGTTGGCGGCGAATGACGGTAAGTTCTCGGGAAGGTTGAATCACTGTTGTGATTTTACGCGATATGCAGACAGATGAGTTTTAGTGACAAAGAGATGCAATTTAGTGACGAATACACAACTAGGTCTTCGTAAGGAAGGTTTGGAGCTCCACGTTGATTCGGCCAATGAATTTGACATAGGTCCCCGGTTCGATCCCCGGGTTGGACATTTTCCCTCAAAAATAGTTTTTATGCTGTTCGCAGAATCGAGCTTTGCGGAAGCCTCGGCATATAGAGGAGTCGTTTGATCTATCTGGTAGCCTCCCACGCTTCGTAGTTAAGCCAGAATAATTCTGCACGCACGCACAATGCGAAAGTGTCTGTTGTTGTGGTATATGCTCCGCTCGTTTCGGAATTTGCTGTTGTCACACGTAGTTGCCAATAGGCTAGGGATCGCTAACTGTATAAACAGTTATTAACAGATATCATATAAGTTTTAGTGGCAAGTGAATGCAATTTAGTGACGACAATTTGCCTTGCCATAACGGTTATTATAAGAGCTGAATAAATTGACTTTGTATGATTTGTTGTATATATGTCATACAAAGGTATGGGAAAATGATATCAAAATGGTATGAAATGATATTCGTAAACAGCTGTGAGAAATCGTTTTCATGCTAAGTATTATATAAAGTGTGCTCAATTTCGATGGTCCGAAAGGAGAAAGTGTTGTAAATTTGCTAATTCGACTGAAACCTCGGACATTTCGAGGTCTGTAAGTAAGCAATGTATTAATATTTATGATCATTATCGATCACAATCCGTTACAGAGTTAGGGCGAGCCACGCATATTAGTCCTCGAACACACTGTAGTTAACCTCGGAAAGAGTTGAGTTGTTGAGATGTTTTGGTAGTGTACTGTCATAGTGTTGGAAAATATGCACATGGTCAACTACATGTTTTGGTTATAGTGTAAAAATTTGATGAAATTTTTGAAAAATTGTTGGCTACCCGAATTTGTATTCAAGCTGTATGATTTTCGAAGGGAATTCTGAGCTCAGGTGAGAAAAGTGAAGATATGTTTCTGTATGTGAGTATTTGGAAATTATTTATAATACAATAGCACATCTACGTTTTTTTGAATTTGCGAGTGTAAAAATCTGGTTATTTTTCAGGGAAATTTTCATTTTTTTCTGTACACTTCTACCAAAATCCGTATGAACTCAGCTGAGGAAGGCGAAAATATATTCTAATATGAGTATGTGTTTTGTATGGTCAGAAATTCCACTAGAGTTGCGGAGAGAATTGGAAGGCAGAAAAGATGAAGTTGAGGAGTTAGCACATAGAGTGCTAACTAGAGTAAGCGTTGTTGGTATCTTACGCACTGTGAAGAATTTCGGGTTAGATGATAATGTTGAGATTTTTGTAGTGAGAAACTGAGATTTTGGGAAAACGAAGTTTGAGTGAAAACTCCGTATGTATTGATTCTGTTACTGGTACTGACTTGTTACTATTATTCATTCTGTTACTAGTACTTGTCCTGTTACTAGTACTTGTCCTGTTACTAGTACTTGTCCTGTTACTAGTACTTGTCCTGTTACTAGTACTTGTCCTGTTACTAGTACTTGTCCTGTTACTAGTAATTGTCCTGTTACTAGTACTTGTCCTGTTACTAGTACTTGTCCTGTTACTAGTACTTGTCCTGTTACTAGTACTTGTCCTGTTACTAGTACTTGTCCTGTTACTAGTACTTGTCCTGTTACTAGTACTTGTCCTGTTACTAGTACTTGTCCTGTTACT